CATACTACTTGATTGAATGTAGCGACATCTTGTGACATGCTACCTCCCGTCTTACCTCCCTACCTTTACCCGCACACGTCGCACCCCCGATGGCCCTCGTTCATTGATCGAGAACCCCCCCTGTCTATCTACTAGGCCCGAATTTAAACCGCGTGCTTGTATTAATTTTTGTTGAACCTCTTATATGTACCACCTCACCGGGCAAACGGAGCGTCGGCGGAGAGGATTCAAGGCCACCGACAGCAGAAGGGACTTGAAATACAGACGACCTGGCGCGGAAGCTAAAAGGGCATGCACCGGGCACGCGGCGATCAGGTGACGGAGCGCGCACACGCGGAGCGCGTGACCACGCGCAAGCATACGAGAGCCGCCAGAGGCGCGGCCGGGAAGGCTGGCGCAGGAGTTGAGGCCCGCGAAGGGCGATACGGCCGGCGATTTCCCCAGGGTCCGGGGCCATCGCCGAGAGCTGCCGGGGCGAAATAGCGACCTCGTCCCGGATCTAAGGGCGAAGAACGCGCCCATCTGAAGCCACGCCGCCACATCCCGGAAATAGGGTGACGTCGCGAGGGCGTGAGGCGCCCGCACAAAAAGTTCACCTAATTACGTCCGTGCCGCAGCAGGACTCCCGCGGCGCCGTGATTGGTCGCGACCGTCTGCGCTGCTACGTTGCGCACCCCCGGGCTGGGAGTGCAGGCATCGATCACGTATCGAGCGCGATCTATGCCGCTTTTGCGTGCGAGCGATTCGAGTGTGCGGACGGTCTTTGCGAGCGAGAGAGCGAGCGAAAGAAGGCAAGCGATTCCGAGAGCGAGAGAGAGCGAGAGAGGATCAGCTGCCGGCCCGGTCCTGAGATCGGGAACGTCGAGGAGGAGATCGTGCCGGTGAGGTGACCCTCTATTTCTGAGCGTTGTAAACCCACGAGCGGATCGAGGATCCCGCTCGCACTCTGCGGACGGAAACGCCATTTTTGTGTTGGAGTCTCGTCGCGTGCGCCACTTTGGCGACGCGTATTCCGTAGTTCTTTTTGCTTTGGCGGCGTCCGTCCTCAAGTGCGAGGGTTCTTACCGAATCTTGCCGTGGGCTACCGGAAGTGCCGTGCATCGCGTATCGAGCCACCCGGAGATCGTCATCGCGAGTGTGCCGCAAAGCCCTCGCGCACGAGTGCGCGAGCGTTTACGTAAGTGTGCGAGTGCTCGAGATCGCGAGTACTCCTCGTCGTGCTGTATTACGATACTGCGCGCGATTCCGTCGTGTATCGGCGTAAGCGATTTTCCGTTTGTTTTTTTTGTCTCCGTATGCGTGTCCGACGCGTAAGCTTATGATCGAGATTATTGGTTACGCTTGTTGTCGTTAGACCTCGGTACTCGCGTCGTACCGAGCCACGTTTTTCATTGTACTATCGTGCCGTCTAGTTTTGATTGCGTTCATATCTACCGGCCGAATTTCCTGACCAGTTTCTTTTCTTTTTGTCACGCCGGAACTTATCGTGCCGCAAGATTACCTGCGTTTAATAACGCCAAACCAGTCTTTTCTTTTCCGTTATTTTTTTTGCTATTGCCGAACTGTATCATAGTTTCCCGCTGTTTCTTATCGGCTTGCTACGCGGTTAATAAACGACCTCATTATTCTTTTTATTATCAAATCTGGAGTATACGAATTCTTTTGCCCGCCCCGCGCCATCCTATCGCCCGTAGTCTAACTTGCCCTTAGTCTCGCCCTGCCCCTCTGCCGTTAAGTAGAGCCGGCCGGCCCTCGTGCGATCGACCTTGGAAGTGGCGTTTGTCCGTGGATTTTTGAGTATCGTCGCATGCAAAGGAATATTTCGCGCTATCGCAGTGACGTTGCATTTCGCGAGTGACGTGACATAGAGCACGACTGGCGCCCAATCTTTCGCGTCGCCACCCCGTGTCGGTCGCAGGAGAGACGAGATATCGAGGGCTATCACCTTCCCTCCCGAGATCCTTTACGATTTCTCTCCTTTCGTTTTGATCCGTGCTCGCGCGAACTAACAACCCCGTGGAGCACGTGACAATATATATATATATACAGGGTGGACTATTTTAATCCATCCAGTCGAGTATCTCGAAAATCAAGCCCGGGAGAGAAAAATTTTTCAGACAAAAGTTGTTTGGTTTCGAAGGGGACATAAGATAATAACATTGGTTTGACCACGAGCGGCGTTGTCAAGGTCAGGACAAGGTCACTTTAAATTTTTTAAATGGAACCCCCAATTTTTCAGTACATATTCTTATAGCACGCCTCGAGAACTTTCCAAAACACATAAATGAAATATTTTTTATAAAATAAATCTTGAGTTATAAAGTTTGAAAATTGGAGTACTGTCGGCATTAGCATCATCCAAGA